AATACATTAATCGCTTTCAATAACTTTTTTAATACGTGTGATTTAATTAATAAATCTTATAAAAATGATTAGAATGAATATAGTAACACAAAGTTAATACATGGAAGAAGTGTTAGTATTAACAACAACAAAATAGAGAAGTAAATTTTTTATTATCGAATCAATTAATACAGTCGTTACTTGATTTTGGTGCTAATTAAAGAAGAGAGAGAGCTAAAAGAAGACAATAATGTAGCTAAGAAAAGCAAGATATGGAGACAGGCCCATGTTGAAGAGATTAATAATAAACTAAATGATTAGTCAAATCTAGGTAGTTTGTCTGGTGACTCATGCGAGAGTATTTCTGAAATAACAGTCATTAATTTGATTCCTAACTAGGGTTTTTTGTTTTAACTCAAAATATCAAATTTTTTGGGGGATAGCAAAGACTATGTAAAATGAATAGTGGGATATTGTGTTACTATATGATTTCTAAATCTTATAATTGTCTTAAATGGGCTCTTAAGTGACAAGTCTAGCTGAATTCAAGAAATAGATTTACATCTAAGGCATATATAAACCCATGATCATTACTGATTAATTGTCCTAGTAACATTGACAATGAACAAACTAATGCAAATAACCATTTGAAACATGCCAATGAGCATCGCTGATACTTAATTGGATTTTATATGACAATATACAAATAACTAAGTATTTAGGATAATACTTGTTATAAGTTTAGTCGTTAATTAATAGGAATTAGATAAACTATAATGTTGTCTACAATTTCTTCTCCTTATGTTTACGCAAATGTAACTTTTATTTTTTAAATTCTAAACTAAGAGACTTTAGAAATGTTAAATCAAAGCTTTCAAGGTACTTTAGATTAATATCTTTTCTCTCTATTAACGTGTTCAAGTAAAGGAAAGAAAATAAGAAGAGAATAGTAAAGATAGAATTTGACAATTTTAATTAGGGTAATAAAAGAGAAGAGTATGATAAATAAAATAGTTAATTTAAAAATAATATTCTTTTTAAAGAAATTACACATAAAAATAAAGAAAATAAAAATTAAAAAAGTCAGATCGTTTTAATTGGGATGATCAAAGAAAAGAGCACCGTTAACAAAATGATTAGGTTAAAGAGTTAATACTATTTTTCAGAATATATAATATATATAAAATAAAAAAAATTAGAAGAATTATAACCCTTTTTAAAAAAGAGAAAGTAATAATATGATAGTTGATAAAATATAAGATAAATATAAAATCTAGAAAGTGAAAAAATTGAAGTTATTTAAATTATTCATAAGAGACAATCCTTTCTAACCTAGAAGTAGCAAGGAAAAAAAAATATAAGCCCTTCAAAAGTTTCTAAAATCTATCATTTCTCTTCCCAATCTCTAAAAATTACCACATATCAAACATAAAATTTTTCTTCATGCATCTCCTAAAGTGGGAATATATCTTAAGGCTCAAAGTTGCTCTAAGCATCTTTTTAGTGAATGAGAAAAGAGTTACGTTACAAAGATGCATGCATGTGCTGTGAAATACTATTTCTGGTTCTTTTTATAAGAAAAAAAAAGATTAAATTTTTAAGACTAAAAAAAATAATTAATTCATTTATATTTTTTATAAATATAAATTTTATTATAAAAATATCTATAATATTAAATGTTGTAATTAATAATTTATACAATTAATAATATTAATAAAAGAAATGTATAAAAGAAATTTAATAATTAATATTTTTTGAATTTATTATTATTTTTTATAATAAAAATTAAAAAATACTTCATTTTATTTTTTATAAAAAGGACTAAAAAGAGTATATTATTGTAGGTATATATTATGGTTTATTCTGACTGGCAAGGCAAGTGTTCGGGTCCTTCATTTCTACATAGCTACATTCAACTAAACGTACCATGAAGTCATCATCATTACCTTTTCAACAAATCTCCATTACTAAACGATTCTTCATCCAAATATTTTCTGTATGTTTGTATATATTCAGGTGATTTTTTCCCTTACAACCAAAGGGTCCTATACTTCTGGAATATTACAATGGAAAGATCTGAATTTTTTGGACTCTTGGTGGCTTTATTTGGCATGAAATTTGAGATTATTTGGATGTCTCACACTGGCTAAATATAAAATCAAAGTGCTATTTACAAAACTTGAATTCTAATTTAACTTTTAAGAGTGAGTTGCACTAGGCGTTATTTGAAGGAGTTTGTGAACCACTTAAAAAAATAGTTTGTGATTTTTATAAATATATTTTAACTTATTTCAATATACTTTTCAACATAGTTTATTAAAACAAGTTATTTTTAACTTATCTTAATAAAATTTATAACATAAATTATTATTTAAAAAAAAACTGATTGAAGAAATGTTTTTCTCATGCAGTATTAGAGTATATTTAATCTTAATATCCAGCAGATGCAAAAATTCAGTTTTGGAAACTCAAGCCCGAACTGTTTCTGCTAGAGATTAGAGCAGATGGGGCCATTTCATTGGTCATATTGAAAAGATTCTCACCAAATATAGTATGGGCAAGGCAACGGTAGTTCTAATAAGAGCAATCTTTAGAGAAAAACAATTCGAACAAAAGAATGATTGGATAAGACAGTGATTATAGTACAAGCAAAATACAAAGGGTATTCATATTATATTCTCTGATTCCAAGTATTCTTTTTAATTTATTCCTCGATCTGGTGCTAGCTTGGTGGTTGGATGTATTCATGTTAATTTCTTTAATATATTGCAGAACGTGAACATGGGTTAACTATATACGGAAGGGTATTGGAAATAATATGCAACCCTCTCACACAAAAGACCTATTTGGAGTTAGCAGTAAAGTTTATAGTATAGTGAGTTAAGTGTTTGTTTTGGGTGTCTTGGTTTTGTTAATTTGTTTCTGGATCGATTAAAAGATTTATGTTGGTTTCTAATTTCTACTAGTTTCTGGGTCCCTTGATAATTATTTTTTTTTGGAAACTTCCCATGTAGATTTTTAGAACGTTTTCTGCTTATATATGGTTGTTATCAAACTTAGTAAAAATTGTCCAATGGTAAATTGAAGCACAATCTAATTCTGACCCTTTGCAAAGAACTTTAATTTGTATGTTGCAAATGATACGCTGAACTTGGCTATTAGTTGTTGGAATGCTCGTGAACCCAAAAGGAAAAGAGAATAAAGCTTCTAGAAACATCTAAAAGTGAGGGAATTGCCATAAAGGCTATAAAATGAATTGATTTTTAAGGATAGAGACAATGTTTTAGTGTCCATTTAATTTAAAGTTCAGTGGAACTCATTTCGATTAAGAAGATTAAAATATGCATACAAATTAATTCAAATAACGTATTTTTATTAAAACATATAATTAATTTTGTAACTTTAAAATAAGCATTCTCTTCATAAATGATGGTATATATGTTGATGATTTGGTGGAGTGGATGGATGGTGACTTTTTATTTATTTTATGCAATAGAAGACGACTTTTGAATTCCAATCAGCAGTATGGTAAAGGTACATTGTATACTTAATTATTATATGGTTTAAAATCCATTACTAAAGCAAGATTGGTGAATTGCAGTTGAAAACAAAATTGAAAAAAGACAAGACTTAAACTTAAAAAATTGTCATTTATGAACACTTGTGAATCTTAGATTGAGACAAGTATACATTGCTGTTACTTGCATCCAAGGAATGCAACTCCAAGGTTTTCATTTTCCAATAAGTGAAAAAAGTTCAATGACAACTCTAATTTATCAGTATCTATTATTTAATAATATTATTGTTAATTTCATTTCTAAACATTTGATTATTCAATGACAGATATTTAGATAATCACCAGAGGCGTCAAGCAAGGATTCTAATATCCTGCAATAATTCCAGTTTGTTCTATTTCTTCGTCCCTTCAAAATCTTAAGCCAGAGTTCCGCCACTCTTTTTGTTATAACTTTTTTATGCTTCTTGTTGGTTCATGAATTCAATTTGTTTTTATTAAAGAGCTATTTGATGCGTATTTAAATCAAGTTAATGGTTCTTTTTGTGTGTGTTAACTATGGAGAACCGCTGTTATTTTTATCTGCCTACACACATATTACTTCATTCTTTTTTCTTTTATTTCAACACCACTTTCTCACCTTAAGAAAAATAGCACAAAATGAAGAAACTTCGTAGCTTTTTTTCATCTTCTGTGTGATAATTATTTTTATGGTGCAGCTACTAATGCACTAATAATTAATCAGTTCTACTTGCGTATATCTGGTGATTTTTATTTTTCGTAATATTTTGATAACTTATTTTCGCATATAATTTATATTTGAGGTGTTGTTTAAAGAAAATGCTTGTTAAAAAATATTAAAACTATTAAACATTAATTATTTCTTTAAATAACTCGAATAATCACATACTAAATATTTTATCAACTGTCCTCCAATACTTTTTTTTATTAATAATAAAAATATTACATTCAGAATTATCGTTGTCACATCATTGTCTGTACTCTTAGCATACAAGTTATGCTAAGGAGAAACTGAAAAGGCATATCCTAAGGGAATAGAGACAAATTTTCGAACTTTACTTTCTCTGTTACATATTGGCTTGACCTTCCAAATGCATATTCTTAGTCCTGAGGGCAATATAACTAGGTGTCCATAACTTCTATTACATTCACCCACATAACATGTGTATATGATTATACATGATTTTTTATGTAGTAAAGGATGCAACCCTACTCAGCAAGACAGCTTTGTAATGATCCATACTTTATATTACATGAAATGTGCCAAATAATCATAAGCACTAGTCAATCATATTGGCTTTTGTGTTAGGAATATGTTAGAGGGAACAAAGCCAATCCATTTGAAGCAATGTTATAATGTCCCTGTTGAAGAAATCAATTATTTTCATACATGAAGTAAAAAAAAGGAATCCAGCTTTGGCCTGTGAATCATTGGATAACAGAAACTCAACAACTCTCCTGTGTTTTCTACACCTTTCTTCTATTCTCACAAACATGGTCCTCCATATCCTGCACTTCTAAATAGTGCTTGCTTTATATCTTCAGAACTCATAATCGTCTTCTGCTTTAATTCCTATTAAATAATAAAAAATAGGATAATAAGATTCATTACTCCACTGCTCAACAAACTAGATCATGATATTGGTTCAATACAAAAACAAAACCAAAGCATTTTTACACATTGCCCAAAAACCATCATAGTAATGACAACTATCCCAAAATTTTTCAGCAAAGAGACATGAATGGTCTTTTTTGCTTGCAAAAGAATCTTTGGACTTGAAGAATAAAAAATGCAGAGACACCCTTGCCTTGTGCTAAAATTTCAATTTTTTTTGTTAGAAGAATTAGGGAAGACTACAAGATCAGACTTTAGACTACTTATTCAGAATATCATGTCACCAACCAACCATCTCAAAAGCTAATACTTTTAGGTGAAGGTACATGATTTTATATTAATGTATAATTAACGCTAACATACCTCTGAGCATGAAGCCTGCATTGTGAAGTCATTGAAACAGCTAATAACGCATTGTTGGATCTCAAGGCCTAATGCTTCCAAGGTGTTTACTGTAGACAACAATAAGCCTGGCTTCGCTCCACAGCAGATCTCTACCCTTGTGTTGACATTCCTCCTCTCTACATCAAACTGCATAGAGGGGAAAATAATCGATGTAGGATTGCACCAAATCACAAAAAGGATTCTTTGATGGTGATTTAGGCGTTTGGATCAATTTATAAATAAGTTCTTGTGGGAGAAGAATACAAAAGAGATAAAACGAGTCAAGTTTCTTTAAAATCAACTTATACACTTTTCTTTTTTGAAGCTTTTTTGTTTACTTTCTTCAAAAGTTTAGGTGCATAACATGATTTTTACTTTTAGAAGAAGTTTAATTTATTTTATCTCTTTATTTCTTTTTATACAAGTACTTATTGAGAAGTTTATCTAAGTTAGACCTTATTTGACTTCAAAAGAATCTTGGTAAGCAATACTAGAAGAGAAAGTACAAACCTTAGGGGAATTTCTCACTAAGATTTCGTTTGGCTTTACATCCTTCAAAATGCTAGCAATGTTGGAATCGGCTTCTATTTCTTGTTTCAAATTATTAATCTTCTCCAGGAGTTCTTTCATGTAATCAATAGTGTCTCCAAGTATAGATGTTCTGTCCATCTGTGACAAGCATTTTTTAACAAGCAAATTAGCACTTTCTACATATGACAAACTATAGTAGTTCCCTATGTGTTTTTACATTTTAGTACACATCGAATGATTCATTGATTCTAACTTCATACCTTACTTATCTTAGGGACAATTGACCTTAGCATGGAAAGCCTATCATTCAATCTCTTTCTTCTTCTCCTTTCCGCCATTAGATTTTTGGAGGGTTGCCCCTGCATCTTCTTTGCTCTATTCTTTCTTTCCACACATGTATCTCTGTTGAAAACAGGCATTTCAGGGGAATGATTAGGCTCCACTTTGCATGTGGTTTGCAAGTCCAAACTATGAAGCTCTTCCCCTAGCAAACCCGGATCTTCTTCCATCATCATGGACATTGGATAATCTTCTTGAGCGATAAATGCAAAGTTACTAAGTGGGGTATCAAGGGTGTTATAGGATGAATCTAGGATCTGGGGTGCAGAGAAATCATCAAGTAAGGAACTATAGATTTCATTGAAGGCATAGTCATTGTTGTAACTTTGAGGAACTTCTTGGCAAGAGGAAGAATTTGGAAGAAAAGTAGAAGAGTTTTGATTATAACAGTCAAAACTCAAACCATTAGAGAAAACATGGTTTTCTTCTAAGCATGGATTGGTGTCCCATGTTTCTCTTCTTAGAGACATAAGTTCCTCCAAGAAATCATGGTCATAGAGCTCCATCTCCCTCTCTCTCTCTCTCTTTGTTATGAAGGGTAATTATTTATGAAACACCTTGAGAAAATAGAGTGCTAAGTTGAAGCATTTATAATAGCAAACAGAAAAACTTATTGCAAATTGGATATTTTTTGCATTAAATTATAGTACGTATTATATGGTATTCATTAGCACCAGCCTAAGACCAAATGGAATCTGCTTTTCACCTTACAGCTCTCCCTAGACCTTCCCCCTCACTAAGAGGGGCCATTTATGTCTTTTTCACCGAAATTTATGCAATCAAAACCAAATAAAATATTTAATCGGAATTCTAACGAAAGTTTGACCCTCAGATCTGTCTGAAACCAAAAAGAATGGAGTTAACATCATAAACCTTCTCAGGTTCTTTGCATGTTAAAAGATCCATATTATAAATTGTTATGGGCAGAACAAAAAGCCAATTCTCCATCTATCTCTCTCTCTCTCCCAACTTGAAGAAGATTTCAGAGTTGGGTCCCACTCTCCTAATTAGCCTTTATAGTTTGGCTTAGCTCAGAAATTCAAATGGGTTGGTAATCATTTTTTGTTCTTTCTGCTCTGCCTTTAATATCCAAATATGTACTTAATACAAATTGTCCATACTCGTAAAATAATAAATAGTTCTGTTATTTGAATAAATAATATATACATTTAATATTTTTTAAAATTAAAAAGAATAATAAAATTGTACAAAAACCATATCCCTACAACAAATTGGACTATATATTTAACTTTCATTTTCTATTTCACAGGGGTGAGAAGCTATTATAGGTATATAGAACCTCGATTCTCACCAACACCTGGCTAGTGTATGACATTTCTGCATCTCTATAACAATATATTTACGTACACGAATGCAACAATAGTAGTGTGAATACAACCCACGTACTATTTTTTAAGCGGGTCATCTTTGGCTTATGTACTTGGTTTTTTGCTTGTTTACGAATATGCAAATATCATAATCAGTTTTTTGCTTCCCTTTTTGGCTCATCCGGTCTTCTATACACCACTGACTTGTTCCCTGTATAGGCATTAATATTGATCGTATATATGTAGGGAATCCCTATTAGTCTTTCATCCACTTTTGGCTCTACTATTTGATCTTGATCCACATAATCATATGGTGGATAAAATTCATTATTGTTGTTATATAGCAGCTTGTATTGATAGGTGGGGATCTAAAAACTAACATTCAAGTCTTGACATGGAGATTCATTCATACTTGTATGTATATACAAAACAAAGCCTACGTACCTTTTAATTAATAGCTGCTATATATGTTGATATAACCACCTATAAGCCTAATAATTAATTCTAATGCATTACATGGCCACTTGATTTGCAACTTGCAATGTAGATTGTATGTGCATATGATGCAAGAAAGAATTCTTGTGCCATGAGTAGGAATCGTTTGTGGGGTAATTAAACATATCAACGCGTTATTGTGCATTAGAGACAGCTTTTCGAGTTGGAATACCTACAAATTAACTTCAAGATTTTCGAACCTCATAAGAGTTTAAGCTTATCCACCAAATAGGAAAACGAAAGACAAGAAAAGTTTATGCTTAATCGTCCCTTGATGACAAGGTTATAGCCTACAGCAAGTTCTAGGAAATTTCAATAATCAATCTCACTCGTCTAAATTCAGGGCGTGCATGTTAAAGAGTATAAAAGTTATTAAAATTAATTATTGAAATTCTGAAAAATGTCCTAAATTATAAAATTATTATATTTGTTATTAATAAATTTAAGTCGTTTTTTTTTAAGTTATTATCACCCTGTGAAGGATCTAAGAACATGCTATTGATATGTAACAAACAAGCTAGTCTATAAAAGAAATAATGGCATTTTCTTTAGTAGCTAAGTTTAGTTATTTGGTGCAACTTTATAGCACAGGGCTGGAGCTAGCATATTCTTCAGGTATATAATATAACTGGACTTTGATATTTGCTTAACACGATTCATTTACTGCTTTTCTTGAATAAGAAACTATAGATAGAGAAAGTGAGTACTTGTTATAATGTGTATTTCATATTTTACTATTGAGCAGTGTAAAAATAATTTAACAGTAACCCTTTATATTAATTATTTTTCTTTTCAGAATTATATGACATATTATAGCTAAGCATATATGTGCCACATGCTATTGAAATGCGAAAATGACTAAGTCCTCATCAACAAATAATAATAATTGAAAATACTAAAGATATAGGAAAATTAGAATGTATAGAATTTGAGGTAAGCGGGTCACTAATAAGAATTAATTAGAAATATGTAAAGATACAGCAAAATTTTTACCTGTATAAAAATATCTCAATAAATATAATTATATGAAATATTTGAAAAAAAAGTTTTTTTATTTATAATAATTTTTTTAATCTTAAATAAGATTATTTTCAGTACAAAATAGCTTCAATTGTTTGAATGTTTATACTATTACGTCGCAATCATTTATTCATAAAACATGTACTCGAGCTGGAATTATTAGTCAATAGATTATTTCCAATTTGTAATCACTTTGGAACATGCATAACTCTGTGGAAAAATACAACATTTAATTACATCTAAACCTTTACATCTTTAGTTTTCTGTTAGGCTTTAAATTCTTTTTCTTTTGTAATAATATAAAAAAGACTCTACATAAAATCTTTACATTTTTTATATCCTGAAATTTATAATCCTCATTCTATAAATTACGTGTAATTATCTCACGGTCCAACTATTTATAGTTACAAGTTTTGTGAATTTATAACATTTTGCTATGGTTATCATAAAATACTTTGTTAAAAATTAAAATATTATTTTGAACTTTTAAAAATTTACCTTTTTATTTGGTTCCTTTTTTAATTTTTTATTCTTCATTTTTACATAATTGTTCTACCAATAATATGTTAATTTGCTTTATTATTTTCTTTCATAATATATGTTAATATAATTTAACTGGAATATACCATAAATATGATGTTCTATTAATATTATTATATTTGTTATATTTCTAAATGAAGTTTTAAGTTATAAAATTAAGGTTTTAAAAATTCGAATTTGATAATATAAAAGAGATAAATGTGTAAATATCGCATAGATTTTATGTTGCGTTATATGAATTAAGTCTATTATCACATAAGCAAATAAAAAAAAAAGATTTAATGAAAGACTAACAAATGAATCATATAAGAATATTTTTTTTAGAAAATTTAGATAGGTATGATATGATGTTTATCATATCTTCTATAAACCAAACGATTAAACGAGGAATTCGATAAATCATTAACTTCATTAGTCAACTAAAAGTTCAACAATAATACATTTAATTACTTTTTATTTCTTGTAAGAGTTATACAATGAAAGCTAACTACATTATTTCTTTTTAATTAATATTTTTTCTCCAAAATATAAAGACCTCTGCATATCAAAATTGGAGGGAGGGGGTAATCATTTGTCAATTAATATCCACAACTTAACACTAAATGTTCACTGTATTTTTTATTTAAGTTATTTGTATTTAAAATATTTAATTTTTATATTTATATTAATAGTAAAAGTATTTTTTAAAAAAATCATTTAATTAGAGTGACAAATACTTCCGTAAAACTAATGCTTCCTAATCTGACTTTCAAAGACTTTGATTATTCTCTCTAACTATTTTGTATATTTCTAAACAAATTTGTCACTGTAACTTTGAATTTTCGACGCATGTATTCTTTTCTTGCAAGCATTATTATACAGTTATTGACAATGGACTATAATTTTATATTCGTTTGTGATCGCTTATATAATATATAGTGTTTATTATTTTGATTTTACTTGAATTTTATTTTTTAATACATAGATCCTAAAAATATACTCAAACATAAAAGACAATATATTAAGGCTATAGAGAGGGAATATTCATTTTAAGTGTCTACTATTTTTTAGCAATTGTTGTTGAATGTTCTTTCTTGTAAAGGTTTACTAATTATCGTAGTGTTTAAATTGTTAATATAACTTGTTGTTTCTGTCATGATTTAGAGAAACTTCCAACTCATTTGTTTTGAACGTGTTTAGTTTTATCTCAAACCTAGTACTTTACTGTGTGTTGGCTTAGATTTTCACTGGTTTTACTTTCAAATTTATCGACTCACTTATTTTCTTGGGTTGATGTTAGTTGTAGTAAAAGAAAAGAGATATGTTTATTAATTGCATAGAAATAGAATTGTGTTTTTCAATAGTGTTTTGGAAGAAAGAGAAGTCCTAAATTCTATTATTTTGAAGTCTTGAAAATGACTATCACTTGTTAGTAAAGGAAAAGTTATTTTGTTAGCTTATTGGTATCTGAATTCACAAAATTACATCCGTTTTAACTTTGTATAAGTATACTTTTATTTTTTATTTTTCTGAATAAATATTAATTTTTATTGTGTATATAAGTTTAAGTTTAAAGTTCTCCTTGAACTCTCTTTAATAATATATATTTTGCCTATAAAAACAAAATTAAATTCTCTATTAGTAATATTATTAATGTTAAATAGAACATTTTTCATGCCAAACACTACAAAAACATCGGCATTTACCTACGGACAAACAAAAGTTGTAAAAGTTACAATAAATTTTGTAGGATATTTTTTATTTAATAAAAAATAAAATATTAGTATAAAGTTTAAAAGTTTATGCTATAAAATAATATATTATACTAATATTAATATATTGATAGTGTATATTAATAGTTTTATTAATAAAATTATTTATTAATATAATATATCATATTTTTAGTATAAATTCATTATATATAAATATATATTATAAACAAAACCTATATTAATAATATTTACTATTTATTTTTAAATAATTATTAATAATATTAATGTTAAATCATTGACAAACTAACATGTCCCTAGTTATGTCAATTTAAAATGTTAGAACATAAAATGATTAAAAATATTTTATTTTCATGCACATTTTTAATGAAATATTATGTAAAAAGAATTAAAATAAAATATTTTTTTAGTTAC